TTCAATATCAAACATTCTCACAAACCTTATAGACAAAAAGAATATTACAAGTGAAAATACTGAAAAATTGATTATGCTCTATCCACCTGATCACATGCCTAAGTTGTAAGAGCTTCTTATGGAGTTTTTATATTATTTGATATATGCTCTTCTATGCAAGGCATCAAGAAATTAGCTGCTAAGTATAAAATAGCTGTTGGGGAAGCTTTTTGTCTTTGTCAGCTAGTATTTACAGCAAACTTTTCGGTGGCTTCGAACGAAAAAAATTTAGTTTACTTAAAATAGTTTAAAATTCGATAAGGTTCATCATTAAAGAGGAGAAACTTGATGTCCTAACGATGATAAAAAGCGAAAAAGACCTTTACGATGCTTTTTACCTAAACAATATGGTGAATTTATGGACGGAATTTAAACACAGGCGAATTCGATATTAACCTGTTCTTATTCTTTCGTATTCTTTTGAAGTGAAACTTCTTTAGGCTCAATCAAAATAAAATTTCAAGGCCATGAAACGACACGTTTTGCAACATTTCGTCTCGCGAAGCGACAGGCTATGAGAATAGAAAGGCGCACACGCGCATATTGGTATTACAGTCAGCTGTTACTGACCGGCATCTTATATATTATAGTATAATGTATATTCACTATACTATAGTGCTAAATTAATTTTTTGGTTATATCTGTGCAGGTATATTACAATAAATGTTTATTTAACAACAATTAGTATTTATTTAAGAGTGAGTATTATTACGTATTAATTCTTATTCCTTGTAGTTATTAATAGTTTACGGTTTCTGAAACACTTGGAAAAAAAAAACGGAAGCGAAAAAATTGACCATTTTTTTATTATTTAATTACATAAAAAAGTATTGAAGTAATACTCCTTAGGTGGACTAAGGATAAAATTTGTTGGAAAATATAAATCCTGAAAATTCTCGTACTCTCTCTTTCTTTCACCAATCATCACTTATTCGTTATAAAGGTATAGAGATCGCCAAAGAAGTTTCACTTCTTTCACGTGTACTGAGTTGCAGCAATCAACAGTTACCTCATTATTAACCAAAGTAATCTGTAGTGGGATGAAATTAAATTGATTCAACATTCATGCTTGATAATTATTTTTTATTTATAAAAGCGCGTTCTTTGGCGTGTGTGTGTAAAACTTTAGTTGGAAAAATAAAGTACAGCAGTTGGTTATTCGGTTGCCCCCCCCTCTTCCCCGAAACAGAATACTTCGCTAGAGGCCTGTGCACAAAGGTCACTACTTTTTATCCGGAACGCCGATGTTGGAAACATTAAATTAGCAAAATTAAAGCGTTCTTCGAAAATCGCCTTTTCTTCAGAGGGTTTCCACGTTTTTCTTGGTAAAAATAGCTCCGATTGACGTTTCAAATTTTATTTAAACACTGCAATTTTCAATGCATTAACGAATTGGAAAATTAAGACTACTCTAATAGTTTTAATTAACTTGACAAAGTTTGTGCTATAATGACTGTACTGTGCGGATATCACTAACAAATATCCAAAATAAAACATTTATTAATTCGAAGTGATATGTATTCTGTGAAACTGCAAGCGCGGATCGCGATTTCCATCTTTTTGGATCTCATCAGCGCGTCGCAGGCAGCTCCGACAGAAGACAGACCAACTTTTACCTGCTGCCTTAACAGCGCGTTTTAGAAAATACCACAAATGGCGCGGTAAACGCCATCTGTGGTACGATGCTACATTTTATTATTACCTATGCTCCAACAAGGTCCATTTAAATATATGGATATCTATTCGCTGAAACAAATCCCGGCGTAGCTAACCTCAACGTGTTAGGCACGTTACCATAATCGAATAAAATAATTCGAAGTGGTCTGTATTCTGTCGAAACTGCAAGACGCGGATCGTGATTTCGATCTTTTTGGATCTCATCAGCGCGTTGCAGGCAACTCCGACAGAACACAGACCAACTTTTACCTGCTATCTCTCTGTGTTCTGTCGAAGCTGCCTGCGACGCGCTGATGAGATCGAGAAAGATCGAAATCGCGATCCGCGTCTGGCAGTTTCGACAAAATACAGACCACTTCGAATTATTTTATCTATTATGGTAACGTGCCTATCACATTGAGGTTAGCTAGGTCGGAATTCCTTTCAGCAAGTAGATATCCATATATTTAAATGGACCTTGTTGGAGCATACGTATGTAATCCTAAAATGTAGCATCGTGGCGTTTACCACGCCATTTGTGGTATTTTCCATTTATTAATCGATTATAACACATGTAGTAAAGCCGACATAGGCCAAACAGGCTGATGTTTTAAAAAATAGATTAAAGAACACAAAATATTATGAAAATAAGAACTCTAATTCAACATAAAGAGAACATTTATCAGACAATTCACAATACTGTAACGGCAACTTCACAATAGTAGGTATGTATGGAAAAGCAATACTTAAAATGGAGTTTACTGCAATGTTTAAAAATCAATAAATTAAAGGCTTAATTTTTAATGTTCAGATCGATCTAAAGAACTCTCCTGAATTAAGCAATCAAATAGTACTCCGTTTCGCCCCACCCTTACTTTTAGCCTTATGTGCAAGTTCGTAAATAAATAATCAATAAAAGTTGTATTCATAATGAATCAGCTTAAATTATCAAATAAAATTAAACTATATTAAGCTTCAACAAATCATATTCAAAGAGACTACCACCCAATGTTTTTAGTGGTATTATTTCTTCCATCTGAAGAAGCCACTGCGTGGTGAATTGACCATTGCAACGATATTCACAGAACCAGTTTGTAACTAAAACGTTGTTTGTGCTCGCCGTTAATGTAAAAATGTGCAGTTCACGACAGCATCTCTGAAGTTCATTCATAACATGACAATAATCGGCAGGGCTGCCAATTTTCTTTTTTGGCGAATATGCTTATAATCATAAGAATACGACAACATGAATGATGTGCTATCATCAAGAATGTATTCCTATGTAGTACTTCTATTATATGGATAGTTTCTATAAGTCGAAGCTGTTTCGACAAAGTGAAACAGATATGTCTCGTGTTCTCTACCCTCCGGACCCCCAGCTCTGTTCTGCGCATCGTTGTGCGCACACAGATACATATTTAACGTGTTTGTTACCGAGATTTTCTACTCAAAGTGATGTGCTCGCGCATGCGCAATAAGTTTTTGAAGTGAAAACTTCTTTAACGATGTTGGGCACTTTTTGGTAGGGGAAAATGTTATGGTTGTAGCAGTATATCTAAGTATATCTGTAGCTATACAGCTACGACGATCGATGCGGTTTTTACGCGATAAATTTCAATCAAACATTTTCATTTCTTACTTTAGTTTTACCATAAGCCTCTTGTATCTTTTTTAGAACACAATGTAATAATTGAAAGTACAAAAAGTCTAAGTATTGTTGAAATTAATGATGACAATGATGCAAACAATGTTAAAAATCAAGTACATTGAAATTTATGTAAATATTTGAATAATTAAAAATCATATAAACATGCATATAATTGTTGCTTGGAGTGTCAATAGATTTTTATTCAAACATTGTGAAATTTCAAATTTTAATACTAAAAGTTCAAAGTTTTCACTTCTATCGGCAATCCCTATAACTGCCAATTTTTTTTATGGATACGCAAGATCAAAATGAATACATTATACGTTATAGCATTAATATTAATAATATTTATTAATTTTGTATATACGCGAACACTTCGCATTAAGTAGAAAATCTCAGTAACGAACACGGTCGTTGCTGTTATTTTAAAGATTTCTCAAGCATGCGCAAGGTGTCATCTTCAAATAAATATAGTCAGCACCGTAATAGCAGAGCATTCTTTCCATACCTACTGTCTGTATAGGAGTATTACATACTATATGCAAAACGACTAGATCAGATGATATTTCACTTCTCGTTCGTCTCATCATTCTCGCCCCAATCTCCACCTACCCGTCCCCACGACTCCTAAAGCATGCTGAAGAGGTCCTTCCGCTCTGCCCTCCGACATAGTCCGGAAGGATTACTCGCCCACCAGCTTTAATAACTTGTATATATTTTTTGTACTTAGCGGTCCAATGCCCCATCCCTATTAAACCTTCCGTCCTAACTTATCTAGCTTCCTAGATGCCTAAATTCAGCCACTTCTTCTAATCTTTCGGCTCATATCTTTACATTCGCTAGTTTCCTATTTTTTCTGCCCTTGCATACCAGTATTTTTGTTTTACTTTTACTTATTTTCATACAACAGTGTTTTGACAATACCGCTTCCATTTTATTTAAAGTTATCTGTAACCGCTCCTGTAAATCTAACCACACTAACCTTTTGCCCCCCTATATCTATCCCTACAGTTGTACTGTATTTACTTCCTTCCTAATATTTACTTCTCTAAGTTGCAGCCCTAGCTCTATAACTGCCTGTTGCTCTTTATATAAGCTAAGTATCACTCTTCTATCTCTGTAACTCATCCCTACATTTTTAAGTATATTTAACATCTTGTCCCATTTAACATTGTCAAAAGCTTTTTCTAAATCTACAAATCCTATGTACGCGCTCTTTTCTTTTTCTATTGTTTTCTGTGTTGTTATCCGTAAAGCTAGAATGGCCTCCCGCATTTCCCTATTTCTTCTAAACCCAAACTGATTTTCCCCTAATAGTTCTTCGGCCCTTCTTTCCATCCTTCTCTGTACAATAAATAGATCACAAAGAAAATGAGTCAGAAGTAACTTCAATGAACCTCAAAAAATCCTTGAAAGAATATTTTCCAAAGGAGTTACAGAACAGTCACGGGGTGTAGAATCCATCTACAAACCAGACTAAACCATCAACCATAAATGTGTCGAGATGGGGTTCCGCCAAAAAAGGGTGGAAACCGCTGCTTTAGAGGCAGCATTCTAACATATGAAGCCAACTTTACATAGGGTGTCGTAAACTGTACTTTTACCGTACCAATAAAAAAATAAACACTACTGTAAGCTTTGTAATATAAAACATTACCTTTGCTTTCGTAAAATTGACGTAATCGTTGGAAAACCTCTTTATTATATTGGCCGCTTGTTTCCACGATTTCGTACGATCAAAAAGTGCAATGACATTAAACGATAAAGTCTCTATCAAATACCTAGCGTGAGATTCGAACCAGAATCGATGTTTGTATTTGTCTAAAACAAACGTTAAAGTTAAACTAATACTTACCAACTGCCGAATAACCTTACCAATTGAAATAGTATTGAAAAGTTTAGCCATCATTTTATACACATCGCGCAGATCTTCTTTTTCCAATAATTTAACTACGTTGAGTACAAACGATTCAACATAATTTTCAGATTTGTACTGTTCCAGGATACCCAAAAATTTCGACACGTCCTTATCCTTAATAACGTTAGCCAAGCTTGAGATTACTTTCGCAGAAATATTTTTCGATGAGCAGCTAACTTCACTAGGTGCACCATTATTAGGTACTATCGTATCACAGCAGTTTGGCGTGCTCGTTTCTGCCTCTGAATAGGACATGTTTGCACCCAGTTCATCGAATTCGTAAGAATTCTCATACATGTGTTCACCCTCAGAGAAACTTTTAAATGAAACATTTTCTTTTAACTGATAAACATCGTTCTCTTTTAAACATTTTTCAGAAGAGACGTCATTCATATCATTGACAACGTCATCATCATTCAACGGAATCTTAGCCTTCCCGGCTAAAATTTTGGACTCTTGGATAAAATTTAATTGACGCAAAATGAGGACAAACTTTTGTAGGAATTCAAAATTCAACTGTTCCAAGTTAACTAATTGAGTATTCAATATATCACGGAAAGTGTTAAGGCACAACTGAACATTTTTGAATTTAACACATATACGAATGATGTCTTCAACGACCCCGTGATCAAGTCTGTCAGTTCTATATTTCGTCAATTTTTTTATTAATGGCCAATCGACTTCCAGATTTGCACTTGATCGTACCACTATATTTATAAGAATGTCTGACAGGCAGATATTTAAATTCGTTATGCCCAATATCGTGATTATTTCTTCAATCGCCTGATGAAAACTGTATCCGATGCTTTGAATAGCTTCAACTATTTTTTCAACGAATGGGCTTCGTTCGAACATATCCTGGTCGACAGCGTCTCTAACGATACTTACGAGGTCGAGTATTTTTTTGTGTTTCACGTAAGCATTTATAAAAAAAGGAAATGTCTCTTTGTAAACTATTTTTCCTTTAGTGAAATTATACACATTCTGTAGCTCTTCGTATGATAAATTTAAGATACTCTCCTCCGTGTTCGGATAAAGACCGTGCAATCGTGTACAGTAGGGCTTGCGTCTGCAATTCTTTTTGGCAAAATAATGATAACAAACTCCTCTAAAAATGTCCGGAATATAATTGTACGTCATTAATCTTAAAGGGGGTCGGTTATGCATTGGTTCTTCTTTTTCATGCTTTTCAGGGCTACTGTTACTTTTCGAATGAATTATTTCTTTAATATTATAATTTGAATTAGTAGATGGTGCAATTATGTTCTCTTCGATATTTTTAGAACTATCGGTCACATTTTTGTCTAAATTATCATCTGAATATTCGGGATCCATTTCTGGACTGGAGACGACAGAACTATAAAATAAATTCTTATTTCACCTCAAAAATCAATCAAAGTAAACAAATTATCAGTATTTGGTCCTTCTAAATGATAAATGTATCCTAATGGATGAGTTAGATGTTACTGTCACTATACCTTTATAGTTAATAATTATTTATAGTGTAACAGAAAAAAGTGCCAAGCTTGCAGTAGGTGAAAGAGTACTATAAAACATGAAAACTGAGTAGATGATAGTATGTCCGAAAGTTCACCGTTTTCGAGAAAAACTTAGTTAAAAGTAAGGATAAATTTAGTTCCGGTCCTGGTACAGAAATACGGCCCGCAACGCTGCACTCAATCAGCTAGAGTTTGCCAGCATCGGCTTAATATTTGTTTTGTATTTTTCTGCCCACGTATTATTTATTTGTTAGATTTAGTGTGAATCAGGATGTTTATGATAACAACCAAACTCTGGTAGCAATTTAAACTTTGTATGAGATAATGGACGTGCAGTTTAATAAACTAATCAGCAATACAACATCAATCATTAGTGCATTTCAGTCACTATAGAACAGTTGTTCTTACAATAATATGACATGGTACGTATTCAGAGAATGTTCGCCTCCTCTCATGTGACAGTGTGGCAAACTTTTAAATAAACAGTTGCTGCATCCTTATTATTTGCAGCGAATTACAGGCTTTCTAAAAACTGATTTTCAGCCGTGAATGGATTTATTTCGGTGGTTTCGAAAGTGCTGCCTAGCCTAATTTATTCCATATTAGGGTGTTATACTTCATTTACTTTGTATCGATGTGCCCCTTCCAATGTCTTGGATGCGCGCTGACAAAATCGTAGGTAGGGAGAAAAAAGCTCATTATACTCTCGACTCTTGTTCATTAAACATACTTTTTCATACAGTACCTGCCAAAAGTTTTGTTCCATCATGAATAGTAGTTCGAGTCGAAAACAAGCGTTAAAGCCTTTAATATGTTTTCAAATATAAATAAACATCTCGTTGATATTTTCAGTAGTAAATGGTACCAATAACAGCACATTTGAGCAATGCAATTGTAGTGGATAAAATGGTCAATTTTTCCGTGCAGTACTGTACGGATTATACGCTCCTCACCGGTTAAGAGTTTCGCCGAGAGTTGTCTCCTTCCTTTTCTGGCCTAGTGCCGTTCTTTTCTACTTTGCGCCGGTCAAACTGAAGATCACATCTCTGCAGAAAGTAAACGAAGTATACTTACAGACAAATTTACTTCCCGCAAGACGGAGTTTGGAATTTTCATAATAATCACTATTAGTGCGACGTGAATTCGCATGTCCTACAACCTTCGCGATTTCAAGAACTGTTTTCGATGTGAAATTTTTTTGACTTTTTGGTAAATTCAACCAATCACCCGCCCCTTGGAAATACCTCAACGCTGATGTGGAAATTAGAATTACAATAATTTAGATGATGCCCCTTTATCGACTAATGTTTACGTAACTTTTTTTTTTGTTCGCACGTTTACGTAGCGCTGCCTGTAGCATACTTATTTAAATTATTTAGTATAATCATCATGTGTGTAGCACTAAATTGTTTAATCTTAGACGTTCGATTTTTTGTAATGTTTACGTTTTCCATCCATGTAGCTGCAGAGCTTTTATTCGCTAGACACATACGTTGCCAATTCATGCACAGGACCGGCTTCTGACTGTAAATTATTACGATTTTCTTGAAAACAAATCTGTCCTTAATGACGCTGCTGAACTTACCATACGATTATTTATTACATCTGGTTTACACACGCCAAAGCTCGGCACTTATTTCTATTACACCTTTACGTAGTGAAAATAAATCGCAATGTTATCTAAAGCAAAAAAACACAATAGGTATTGTGTGCGAAAAGTGATTTTTTTTTATTCTACTGTACTAGTGTTATTAATCTTCAAAATGAATATCTTTATGGGAAATAATATTTTGCTATTATATTAAAAATAGTATATCGCTAAGTATGCATACAGGATGTCCCAAAAAGTACGTTATAAGCTCATTGCAGTCAAACAGTAAGTTTAATCAAAACATTTTTCAAACAAAACTTGTTCCTTATTTTAATACACGATCCTCTCTCTTACACAAATTTGATTTCATATACAGAGTGTTCAAAAACAAAAAAAATAAGATTCCGTTTAAATGGCAGCCATGTGAAATATGTTTCCAATGTAAAAAGGGTTATAGGAAAAAGTTGATAAGTATGCCAATGGAGCTATGCAAAAAATTGCGGCGATATTCAAAGTTTTTGTTTTCGAGTCAAATAGCCCAAAATGTTCGTAATATGCCCATTACAGCCAAACTGCAAATTTAACCGAAAAATGTTTCAAACAAAACTTGTTTGCAAAAAATCGCGGCGATATTCAATTGTTTTATTTTTGAGTCAAATCACTTGAATAGAATTAAAAAACATTTGAATATCGCCGCGATTTTTTGCATAGCCCCTTAAGGTTTGGTAGTTTTATGCGGCTATTATTACGATTCGAGTTTCTGAAATTAGATGATGAAATTGGTTTCGCACGCGCATGACGTCATTTTGAGATGAGCTACACAGCGAAAGTTGCTATTGTGTGCGGACTACGGTAAATGGTAAAAATATAAAAGGCCCTGGTGGCTTCTTAAAGTGTTACAATTTATAAATTATAATAATCCTTTGTGCACAGATTTAGAACTAGGCCTTAAAATGTTAATGATTTGTATTCTAAATGCTGTTATAAGTTATAAACTAACAATTAGAAATCTGCATTAAGATTTAAAAAAAAGCCCATAGGATGAGTTAAACTCAAATGACAACAAAAATTGAGCCGATGCGTATTTTATAAACAATTATAATAATGAGGAAATATGTCCGTTAAACTCCGGCTATGACAATCTACAGCAATTAATAAGAGAAATATTTGTTTGGTTTTTTGCTTATACATATGAAAATATTTAATAAATCGGCTTACTTTCAATGAGTAATTTGAATCAAATTAAAAAAAAACTACAAGGTAGCTCTCTATAGAATCACATCGAATCATTTTTCTAACCTAACCTAACCTTACCTAACCTAAACATGAAGTCAAATCAATGCTTATTTGTATTTTCTTTTTATAAATCAAATACCTATCTAAAATTTAAACTATTCGAAACTATTGGATAATCTGAAACAGGTACAGTAATATCCATACATCTGTATCCTTATGCAGATCCGGAAGTTCATATCCATAACATCCGTACTGGTAGGAAAAACTTCCCTGATTGACATATACGAAATGCTAACCTAGCCTAGCACGTGATATACATTATTGACAACGGTACCCATCTGTTCAGATTTGGACGGGTTTAACTTTAACAGCTTTAGGTCTAATTTTCAACACAACATTTTAGTAAAACAAGCCAACATCCTTTTTTCGTCATAGGAATCTCCGCGAAAATATAAAAGCATACGTCGAAAAAAAAAATAGGAAATTAAAAATAAAACGAAGTTCATCTGGCAACGTCAATTTTTGTTGGTTAGAAGAAGTCAGTTTGCCAATTGATTTAGAAGCCTTGAATAGTCCATATAGATAATAAATTGTTTTGGACATATGAATTTATTTGGAAAATAAAATTTATGGTAGCCCAATTACGGCAGGGAAAAATAGGCTTTTTTTCATATTTTTTTTTCTGTTGCATTTACTAAAGTGTCTGTAACAGATGTAGGTATCCCAAAGACCTACAAAATGAACCGTGGTGGTTAACAGTAATATTATTAGTTAACTTGTAAATTGCATAAAACCAATAAAATAGTGTTTTTTTTTAATTTGTTTATAATTAACTAACCGTAACCTGCCCGCTTTGCTGAGCATACTCCTTTTCACCCTTTCCAGAGATTAAATTTTTTAAAATACTGAAATAGGTATATTATTAATGATATCAAATATCAAAGAGCATTCAGACCAAATTTCAAGTAAATGTGACAACAAATAAACACAACTTACCATACAAACATAGCACCCATTGCCCACCTTAACGGTTGATTTTTTAAAATTGTCAAAGTATGTGTTTGCTTCATTGTATTAATCAGCATTAAAATCAAGTCAGTGGAGTAGCGTGGGGGCGGGAGGGAAAAGGAGCCATGGGCGGCGGAGATGTGGGAGGCAAAAAATGTTTTCTTCGACATAAGAATCAGGCCCGCCGCACAGTAATGTTACAAGTCGCAATTTTTTGGTATTTGTACCAGTTTTTAATAACTAACCTTACTATTTTTCTAACCTAGCCGCGCCCACCATTCATGTTACGCACCCGTACAACACCACGCTACAAACGTACACCTTCAACAATCTTTTTCGAATTTTTACATTAATTGCTGGCGAGCGTAAAAGTGACTTCTTTTTATTGAAGGCGAGTTGATCCTGCGCTATCCTCTGCTTTATATCCCTACTACTCCTTCCGTCCTGACTTATCTGACTTCCTAGATACCTAATTAACCACTTCTTCTAATTTTTTATCTCCTATCTTTATATTCGCTCTTTCCCTGCTTTTTCTTCCCTGCATACCAGTATTTTTGTTTTAGGTACTTTTATTTATTTTCGTAGAATACTGTTTTGTCAATACTGCTTCCATCTTATTTTAAACTATCTCTAACTCCTTCTTGCTAGATGCTAATACTGCTATATCATCTGCAAATCTAAGCATACTAATCTTTTGCCCCTATATATCTATCCCTATAGTTGTACTGTCTTTAATGATGTTGATCGCGTCTTCGATGTATAGATTAAAAAGTAGCGGTGACAGTGCGCATCCTTTTCGGACTCCCATCCTAATATTTACTTCTCTACGTTGCATCCCCAGCTCTATAAGTGCCTGTTGCTCTTTATACAAAATAAGTATCACTCTCCTATCTTTGTAACTCATCCCTACATTTATAAGTATATTTAACATCTTGTCCCATTTAACATTGTCAAAACCTTTTTCCGTTATAGTCTATTTGAGGAACCAAAATCCTTACAATTCCGTATAGGTAAATCCTGAGA